CAATTCATTTGTGTCGAGACATGCAAGCAAAGTTAAAGGCAAAAGTCTAACATCATTTACTTTTGAAATCTTTAGGTCTTCGCTCATTCAGTAAAGAATGGTTTAGAGGACTCAAGAACAGAGCCTTCTCGCATTTTGATTTGCTGGTCACTTGCTGTTTTAAAAAGTGACTTATGATTTACACTTTTAAGTTTTGAGTTTAATATTTTTTAATAATATTTTTAACATAATAATTTTTAATTATTATCTTTATCAAAAAAAAAAAAAAAACAGAGCCTTCTCCAACATTTGGTCAAATCTGAAATTGGACGCAGGTCAAACAATTTTTCAGCGTCCCAACGGCCCAGCAACAGTGGTGGTTTGCCACCACCTTGAAGAGGCGGCCAAAGGATTTCAATTAGTATCATCTCTCTAATAAACACCTGCCTCCTCGTCCTTCTTTTTTGAGAAATTTAATAAGACCTGGCCGCCAAAAAATTCCTAGACATTTATTGATAAAAAGAACTTGTTGATATTTTTCTTGGACTAGTCTCATGAGTGTAGCTTTTATTAATTATTAGCAAAAAAAACAAAGTGTAAAACAACAACTGCGCGCAAGTGATGAAAAAATCTGAAGATTTCCATATACTGTTATTCTCCTAATTAGTAAAAATGATTTCTGGATTTATCTTGAGTTTATTTCGCTATAGAAATTTTTTAAAAAATAAATAAATTATCTAACCTTATGAAGAGAATTGGAAATTTCAAGGGAAAAGTAGAAGAATAGTTGATAAAAGGAGTTAAAACATCTAATATTCATGGTTAATTTCACTTTTCGTTTGCTTTGCTTGCGTGTTTTGACATAGGATAAGTTGTCAAATTATCAGTGAACTGGGACACAGCTGACATGGTGTCCTAGTTGCACCGAAGACTTTCTCCCCTCCTAGGGCTGTGTAACTATTAAGCACAGCTGCACATATTACCTGTAAATATATTTTTACGATTTTTTTAGAAAGTAAGGTTAAGAGTATAATTAATTATTATATTTTTATATTAATTAGTATTAAAAAATAAAAGTTAATTTTTATTTAAGTAATTGTTTAATTAACATAATTCATGTGACATTGACAATAAAATTAATAATAGTTTTTATATTTTTAATATTAATTAATATTAAAAACTACAATAATTGTGTCTAAAGGAACATATTAGAATTTTTTTTATTTGTGTAAATATCATAT